TTTTTCATGTCCTCTATGCTCTAACTATGAAAATATTTGATTTACAAATAAGGAATCCTACTTCGTGGAATTTCATTTATCACAGTAGGGTCTAGAACCGATAAACAGGGTTCACTGTACTGCCACTTAAGGTCGGATTTTTACCACCTAATATTCCACCAGATCAACTTTTTCCTATCTGAAAAAAACCTTTAAGAATAATATCTGACATTACACATGGTAAAGTGAATAAAAGTGACTGTCACGTACCTTGTAAGAGATATCTTGCACTCAAATGAACATTAATGCTTGCATGTAGACCAGATATGAGTCTGTAAAATGCTCTTTTTTCCACACAGAGACCTGCACAAAGAGTCATTTGGACAGAAATTTCATATGTGAACTTGTAAGGTTAAAAAATTTAATTAAAAAATTTAACTCCATGCCTCTTTAAAAATAATACAAAATTTCAATATTTGAATTTAAGTTTCCAATACCTTCTAGCCAATTGTAAAAAGTGTTCTCTGAAAAGAAAAAGAAAAAGTCACAAAATTATAACTGCCGAATGTACACTTTCTAAAGTTTAAAAATATTATAGCAATTTTGCATTAAGTAATAATAAGAGTACTTAATGAAAGATTCAAATCTTATTTGCAGCTTCTTAAAACAAAGAAGAAATAATCTTGGAATGGATTGAGTTAGGTATTTACTGTGTGCTGTCAAATCTCTAAAAGGCTTTTAGTACTGTCTTAGGTAGACTGTCTTACAACCTTCTGGATAAAGTGTTTTATTTATTTATTTTTTAAGTGTTTTAATATAAGATCTAAACACAGAACTTAAATCCAAACAGGGAAAAATACCTAACCTTGACAGTAATGAGTGTATTGAAAACTAAAGGACCCATTAAATGCATTTTAATTTATAAAAAAGTAAGTATAAATCACGATCATTGATGGTGTATTTGTCCACAGCTGGTGGTATTATATGCTGTTCAATATTTCAAATGAGCAATTAAGGGAAATGTTACAAAAGCCAAATACCACTTACATTCTACAACCTGTTAAGATTGCAGTATAATAGGTTTAGTATTAAGATAGCAGAAGGACATTGGGCCTCCACTCAAGTACTCCCTCAACGCAAGAATACTTTCTGCTATTAAATTGGCATTCTATGATGCTCACCTTCCCGACACAA